TTTTGTAAGGGATGCGACAAATGCCAACGGTTGGGTAGTGTGACCCAAAGAAATATGATGCCCCTTTCACCAATACTTGTTATAGAAATATTTGACTGTTGGGGCACTGACTTCATGGGTCCTTTCCCTATGTCATTTGGTTATTTGTACATCCTCCTGGTAGTGGACTATGTGTCCAAATGGGTGGAGGCTATCCCGACCAAGACTAATGACCACCGGGTCGTAGTCAAGTTTCTCAAGGAGAACATCTTTTCGAGGTTTGGGATGCCTTGTTCAATAATAAGTGATGGTGGATCACATTTCTGTAATAGGCCATTTGCATCTCTAATGTTCAAATATGGCATCACTCACAAAGTATCCACTGCCTATCACCCACAAACAAATGGCCAAGCCGAGCTAGCCAATAGGGAGATCAAGAACATTCTAGAAAAAATGGTTAACCCAAACAGGAAGGATTGGTCCGATAGATTGACCGATGCCCTCTGGGCATACCGCACTGCCTTTAAAACTATTTTGGGCATGTCTCCCTACCGGCTTGTCTATGGAAAGGCTTGCCACCTACCAGTCGAAATGGAACACAAGGCCTATTGGGCCATTAAGACTTTAAATTTTAATTTGAGAATGACCGGTGATCATAGGAAGTTAGAGCTGAATGAGTTGGAAGAGATTCGACGAGATGCATATGAGAGCTCCAAAATCTCAAAAGAAAGGGCCAAAATCTTTCATGATAACTCCATTGTGAGGAAATCATTTGAGCCCGGGCAAAAAGTACTCTTATACAATTCTCGCCTCTCCATTTTCCAAGGCAAACTCCGATCCCGTTGGGATGGCCCCTATCTTGTCAAGGTGGCCTACCCCAACGGAGCTGTGGATGTTCAAAACCCCGAAAATGGCCAGACATTCAAGGTCAATGGCCAAAGACTTAAGCCATTTTTTGGGGGTTTTGAAGAACAAGTGGTGGAGGAGAATTTGATGGATCCGGTATACCCGGAAGTTGTGAAGGAATAATTAGTTTTTCTTTTTTCTGCTTTTTAATGTACAGGTTTTTATTTACTTACTTTATTTTTTTTTATTCCATGTTAATTATGTTCTTTTGTCGTATAGTTTTGTTTTTCTTAGTCGCAGATATTGGTGTTTTTGTCAAAGCTCAAGTGCGAGGTGTTCTCTAACCCTACTAATCTTTTTACTATCCGTCATTGAATATCATATTTTTTTTGTTTCATTGAGGACAATGCATGAATCAAGTTGGGGGGTGAGATTGCACTATTTGCATCTTACACCAATATTTGTGGGAATATTTCGCGCGGATATTCGCGTCAGCCGACACTCGCGCTTGCCGACATTAAAAAAAAAATAAAAAAAATAGANACCAATGTTTGTGGGAATATTCTGCGCGGATATTCGCGTCTGCCGACACTAAAAAAAATAAATAAAAAAAAAAAAAATAGAAAAAAAAAATGGGATGCCTTTATAAGGTTTTCAAAATTTTTTTTCTCCCATCCACCGGTGATTGGTCTCCCTTTCTTCTTCCCTTCTTTTTTTTTCTTCTTTCTTCCTCTTGTCTTCTTCTTCTTCTTCTTCGTCGTTCTCTCTGTTCTCTGTAAAAACAAACCACCCATGCAAATCTCTGACCATATATTATTGTTTTCTTTAAGTATTGTTTTCTTTTATTGTATTATTGCTTTCTTTTACTTTAAGTATTGCTTTCTTTTATTGTGCTATTGCTTTCTTTTATATCTATTGCTTGAGCTTTCTTCTTCCCTTAGAGGAGTGAAACTCTTCCACTTTTCTAGAGCTTTACCAAAGCCGTGAAGGGTGGAACATGATTCACTCATTCTTTATCAAAAATCGGCTTCTTGTGTAAAGTGTTTTACGTTGTAACTCCTCTACGTGGAGGGATGAACATCACTCACTCTTCTAGCTTTAACAAAGCCATGAAGAGTGAGTAGTTTCTCATCCAATCTTTAGTAAGAGGTGATTATCCGGAAGTTTTATTTATACATTTTGTTTATGCTTAGCTCTAGTCTTTATTTCTTCATAATGTCTTCTCATCATATTGTTGTCTTTATTTTAAGCATGAATAGCTAAATCTCTTAGTTGGCAAAACCAAGAGGAACCTCCACTTGGGTATACCATTTCAACTCATTCTCCTCCCCTCTTTCAGAGTTCAATGGTTCGATTTGACTGGGTTGAGGATGGATAACTTGGTGAGTCTTTGATATTCCGTAGGCCTAGTCACGGTTTATGCTTAGATACTCATCAATCTTACCCCTAGCTTCCCACGAATCAATCGTTCATTCATGCTCTATTGGAGGAAGGTTTCGAGTTGAGACGGTATTCCAATTGGAGTGACCTCTTGGATTTGCCAACATTTGTTTCTCATTTTACTAACATCAAAACAACTTCACTAAACAACTTCCAACAATCAAAGATTTTACACTTTCTTTCTCCCAAAATCACCTTCCCCTCGGTTTACTTCCTTCCCCGTGTAAACGACCTTGGAATACCACCAAGTAAAACACGATCCGCGAAAGTCTCCTTGCACTTAGGGAGCACTTTTGTTGACACATACTCACATTTGAAATCTTATTCATCCACCATTCTGTTGCCCTTTCTTTTGACATCATCCCTAGGAGAGTGACACTCCCCTTCATTTATATACTATACATGCTAAAAGGTGATGTTTATAGGTTAGGAAACAACAAAGAATTTTGTCAAGCAACCATCTCCAAGCTCAACAGATCAGTTCCAGCCCAAATTGAAGTAAGATCAGAACAATCAGGCCACAGTCCAGGTGCCTGATCCATTCAGTTCCTAGTTCTTTACAGCAGACAGCACCCTCTGAACGTCATTGATACATTGATACCAGATGAAAACATGATAACATCTCTAGAAATCCATACTTAAACATCGTTGGAAAAACTTGTGGAGATCTAAATCCCCCCTTATGCCTTAAAAAATTTTAAGATACAGATATTTGATTCACACAAGTAGTAAACTATAAATTCAAGAAACAAAATTCATTTTATTCCAACACATTTCCTCACATAGCGATGACATAATACCTTACTATGACCCTTGTCAAGCCAAAGCAAAGAATGATGATTGCAACAACCAACCTCAAGTCTATCTTACTTAACGGATGACATATGGATAACCAAGTCAATCACACGTGAGCTGCAACACATAAACAATAAGGTCATTAGTTGCACGACATTGTATTTACGTGTAGAATGTCCTAATTTAGAGGCAGTATGCGCTCAATAAGATTTGCAACATAAATAAAGAAAGACCTTGTGGTTGGACTTTAAATAGCCACGGGAGATGCAAAGAAGGAAAAGTAGCATCAAGATTACCTGTAATCCCATTCGTTATCGTACCATGCAACAAGCTTCACGAAGTTCTTATTCAAAGCAATTCCAACCTTAGCATCAAAGATGCTGGACCTCATAGGTCAGAAAAATATGGATCATGTACTTGTCAAAGAAAATGAAATTGCATAAGTTGAAAAAAGCGTTTCTTCACCCAAGTCATAAGGATTGAAAAATTAAGCCAAAGACAATGATCAAAAAGTATATCAGCAATAAATTTCACAAGCAGGAATCCATCAACTATTAGCATGCCTAAATGTGTGGTTCATGGAAAAAGTTGAACAAGTAATGAAAGGATAATCAAAACACAAAACATGTAATTGAAATATCCATTCTCACCTGTTGTCACCTACAAAATCAGTGGACACTACGTCATCTTTAGTGTAACCTAAGATTCTCTTTAGTTTTCCCTCAGACTCTTCCCTGATGACCATCACCGAAATAATAAGATCAAACTAAACACAGTGTAACAAATAATTAGCAGGACCTTGAGCATCCATCCCATGCCTAATAGTTAATTGAAGTCCACCAAAATATATAAAATTAACAAGAGTTTGTATTTCTGCAACAAGTCTATAGATTTACTTTCAACTGGAAAAATAAACAAAACCAACATCCTTACTTGATAGCAGCTTTGATTTCATCATAACTAGCCCCCCTTCTCCAGTCTCACAGTTAGATCAACCACAGAAATGTCATCGGTGGGAACACGGAAGGTCATTCTAGTCAATTTCCCATTCAGCGCTGGTAGCACTTTCCTAACTGCCTTCCAAAATTAGTTTTTTTCAAGAGGGAAGAAAGGGCAAGAATTAGAGCCAGCCATTACAGACAAAAGCCCAACATAGGAAAATAAAATACATGAACAATCGCTATGTTTATCTGATATCACAGCTCAGTCTGAAAAAAGCTAAGTCATGCCTACAAATCATCTCACAAAGAAGTCTGTCATTGATCATTTGATTACTTAATGCAACCTCAGGGATTTACAAGCACCTTTGTAGCTCCAGTGCTACTAGGGATAATGTTAAAAGAAGCAACTCTACCACCCCCTAGTCCTTGGAAGATGGTTCATCAATAGTCTTATGTGTGGCTGAAACAAAATGGAGCAATATGAATACAAAGAATCCCTTCGAAAAGCCAAACAAATAAACAACTAACAAAACTTACTAGTGATGGAGTGGGCAGTGGTCATAAGACCCTTAACGATGCCAAATATGTCATTGATAACCTGCATAGTTGTGTAAAGGAGACTTCAAATTTTGTTGCATAGTTCTAATTGAATGCATTTCCTATACTTTCAATCATATCTAAAACTTTAGTAAAATGAATAAATAAGCACCCACTCACATTAAGCAAAAAACACAAAAAGATGATGATGACAGGAAACGATCCTTATTCTATAACTCAATATATAGACATACATGATAACAAAAAGAAAAGAACTAAAATAATATGTGCCAAAGAGGTTAACCAATACTTTGACTTGGCTTATGAGTTTGTCGATTCACTTTAAACGTAAAACAGTAACACAATCCTAATTCACGAATGCAGACCAAGTATTTTAGAATAGCCATCCAAATAAAGCATATATTTGCAAAAAAATTACATAATCCAGCAAAACACATCACATATAACATCATCTAAATGGTGGGGAGACACCAAAAGTACACAATTCAACAGATCTACATCAAACTTTAGCACAAGTGATATGTCACATAAAGATAAACCTTCAAATGAGCGACAACTTTGTCTTTGTCAGTGAACACTCCAGTTGATTCCATGATGTACTCAGCTCCGGTGTTGGCCCATGGGATTTCCTTTGGGTTCCTAGAATCAGCAATAGAACGACATCAAAGATTGTCCATATCAGATATATCTAAATAAATAAGTAGACTCCACTGAAAACTATAAGTGCGCGTCTAAGTAAGTAAATACTTGTTCTAGTTTACGAGATTCCACTGCGTCAAGTTTGCTTTTCGCTATTTCATGTTGAATATTTTTTAAAGTTGAAGTCTTTGCTTCAATTCTCATATGTATGTCAGACATCTTTTTTTGAGCATCATCATAAGCAGTACCGCCAGCTTCATGCTGAAAAATTCCACAATAAAATAATGCACAGCTATGACATCTAGCTCTACATAAAAATCAAATTGTGAAAGGTTCCGAGAAACAGAAAATAGCAGAGCCCATATGAAATTCATAGCAGCTTTGATACTTGTATCTTAATTGTTTACACTGAAGAAAATACCTTTGGAGTTCTCCTTAATTTCCTCTAAGACTTTTTCTTCATCAAGAAAGAATTTTTACAATTTTGGGAATGTCTTCCTCCAGTTGGGGTATGAGATTTGTTGACTCCATCTCTAATGATCTTGTTGATTCTAGTGCATTTCCAATACAACATCCATTTGAAATCCTTTGGAAACTATCTTTTGGGGTACTGCTCCTATTATTCTTTACATATTCATTATTCATCTTCAGCTATCCATGAAATGTAATTATGTCTGATGTAGCTTCTTATCTCTCTGATTACATAAACAACATAACATTTCCTAAAGGCATAAACAACATCACGTATGGTACAAGGACCAAAAAGCATAAACAGAGCCAATGCCCTTTTATATACACAAACTTCTCCCCAATAGTCTTGGTGTGAAACCCGGGAAAATTTAAACTTTTTCTGACAAAGGGCAAAATAGTAATTTGTCATTATTATACGGGATTAAAATGCATATTTCTATAGAACTTGGATGAAGCAACGAACTTCACCGTTAGATTCGTATCATGAAAATGAGTTACCACGTCAAATTTCGTCGAATTTTAAGAGTCAAATTTTACACATTTTCAAGACAATTGGGTGACGAATGAACTTTTAAACATCCCCAAAAATAAAAATTATAAAATTTTCTTATAATTGAATACAAGTTCAAATAAAATTTATTTGAACTAAAATCAGGATTTAATTAGGTCATTTTAGGTTAAAAATAGACCCGGAAGTGATAAACGAGCGGGACAATGTGGACCGCATAATTAAAAGTATAAATAGGGGTTAATATCTAAAAAAACAGATATTGTTCACACCTATTCGGCTGGCTACTTCTGGCCTTAAAGAGAGAAAAGAGAGAGAAGAGGGAAAATTCATTTTTCTACCTTTCTTCTATGACCCAAGGTGTTCCGTCGATCGGAATCGCTTGGACCAAGAACTAAACTTCATCTACGCGGTGAGAGCTACGCGTATGTACCAAGAATGAAGAGTTTCATCGAAGATCCGAGAGGAGAATTTTGGGGAAATCAAGGTTTTGGGGGCAAAAAGAGTGTCTTGAGGCTTCTACTCTTTCTTATACACTCCAAGAGGTAGGGTTTCTCCTACTTTGATTCACTTTCTTACCTAGGGTGTATTTGAAATGGGGTAAGGGTATGGAATAACCTAGGTCATTGACCATGGTTGTGAAAAAGAGGAAATGGGCATGGAATTTGGCCTAGACTAATTCCTAGTTTAGTTGGCGTAGGAAATTACTTGTGTGCTTTCCTTGGAATTTGATATTTTGGGCATGCTATATGTCATATATTATGCTTTGTGAATGAGGTAGAAACTCTTGTGTGATAACATGAATTGTTGCTTTAAAGGTGTTTGCCAAAATGCCTACGTATGAATCAAGTTGTTATGACATAGTGATATATAACATGCTTAGAAAATGTGTTGAAAAGAAATGTTAATATGTGCTCATTGAGATATTGACATTGTATTGATTTACAGAATTTATATGCCTATAATATAAATTTTCATGACTCATGTTGAGATGTGTGGTTTAATTTGTCCATAGGACATGATATGTGTTTAATTTGGCTCACGACATTTATTACATCGCATATGCACGGGAACACATCAAATTTCATGGGTGTGAGTGCATGGTTGATATCAAACACCAAGTAGGTGGGTGATAGTGGGCTCGGTACCATTGGACCAAGGTCCCATAGAGTCGCATAGTTGAATCGCATGCAAAACTTGTGTCAGGTATAGTACAAAGGGCTAGACACGTCCTCGGGTGCAAGGCCCGACTACTGGTTTTATACACTTCCTATGGTGCAAGTCCAAAAAAGTGTATCGGTTTGTGGAGCCGGTGGTGCGACACCAAAAGTTCACTACCCAAACAAAGACACATGATTTTATTATATAATGATTTCATTTGATGGGAAATATCCATGAATGAAGTGGTTTTATGAATATAAGGTGGGTGTTTTAAAAATGATCATTGGATGTATTTCATTAATGATAAATGTAGTACACTTGCATTGCATAGTGTGATGAGAGCCGGTGAAGGCTTGGGTTGATGTGCGTGAGTGAGTCTCATGTCATGTCATGACATAACATGATAGATTCCAACATGAATTGAATATTCTTGCATTGTAATGGATATTGGTTGAGTGTTGTTGCATATATACATTCATATGCACTTAGGTGGGGAGTAGCCCTTGTAGGAAGTATTCTACTGGGCGTTGACTCACCCTATACGGAAAATATTTCAGGTACAGGGCATATTCCGGTGGATAACACACATATGGGGCCTCTAAGGTGAAGAAGAGTCGGGTTAGGGCTCTTGAACTGAGTTTTATATGTGCAAATTTTGCTTTAATTCTATTTTGGCATGTAAATTTTATGGAATGGGTTGTAATAGACTTGTATGAATCATGTATAATGTATAAAATATCTTTATACATGTTTGGGATGGATTTAGAAAGGTTTGGAATGGATTGGACATGAAAAAAAGGTGAAAAGGACAAAACTGCACAGAGTGTATCGGTACATAGTACCGGTACCCTATGGTCCAGAAGACAGAGCTTACCAGTACGCTGTCTGTCCAGAAGGCAAACTGTACCTGTACGCAGTACCGATATGCTTTTCCAAATTTTAAAACTAAAGTGCTATGTCCTTGGACTTTGGTTCCTTGGTTCCAAAGATACAAATGGACATTAAATGAGATGTATTAGGGTATATTGAACCTTGGTTGGATTAAATAATTGAAAGAACACAGGTTACACGTGAGTTAAAATCCCAGGTAAAGGGATACTATTATGTGATGTCGAATTATATGGCATTCACGGATATTTCCGCAGGTTGACGGTGGTCAACAGGACCCCCGAATTTAGGGGCATCACAGCTTGGTATTAGAGTCAAGGTATACAAATTACCTAGGGCTTGATGGGCATTGGGTTTAGACCATTGCATGCATTGTACATTCCATCTTATGTTCTTACATTTTGTTACATGATTACGTGCTATGTGATTATGTACATAATAGACATGGTAAAATATATATGGAAAAGTGACACTAGGGTTAGAAAACATAACCTTGGAGGTCGAAAAAGAAATGAACGGGATAGTTCAAGGTATACATGTTTACTAGTGGGTGTCATAGACTCTACTAGGGAAATAAGGAGATAAATCTCAATGTTTCAATTTTGATCCCTACCTTGGGATGTTATGTTCATTTTACATGTGTGTAGATGGCAACTAGAGGAATGGGACATCGGGGTGGACAGAACAATAACCAACCACCATCGACTTTTGACCAACAAGCCTTAGTGGAGGCTATTGGTATGACGGCTGCTACCATAGCACAGGCTAGTGCTATAGCAGCCACTATTGCACAGACTGGTGCAAGTGGAGACAAGGAGGCTCAAGTAAGCTCTAGAAGTTCAAGGCATACCAACCTCCAGTCTTCATGGGAGGGGCGGATCCTATGGTGGCTAACCATTGGTTCCGACAAGTCGATAAGGTATTGAGGGCTATGGAGATCACCTCCGACGCCACCAAGATAACCTTAACTACATTTCAGCTAGAGGGGAATCCCAATTGTGGTGGGATTGGGTGAAAGACTCCAAGAACTTGGAGGCTATGACTTGGATAGAGTTTAAGGAGCTCTTCATGGGCAAGTATTTCCTGGTGGCCGCGAGACATGCAAGGGCCCTGGAGTTCTTAGACTTGCGACAAGGGACGATGATGGTGATGGAATACATGGCTAAGTTCACGGAGTTAGCACGTTTCGCCGATTACTATGTGGCCACTGACATGGCCAAGGTGAGAAAGTTCAAGGATGGTTTAAAGTTTTCCATCCGAGGCAAAATTGTGGGTCTTCTTCTGTAAGACTTGGACTCACTGGTCATGACAGCTATGGCCATTGAGAGAGAGAGGTAGAAGATGCATGAAACATCCGAGAAACGGGTGTTAAAGACAAGAAGAATGAGGGTCAATCTTCTTCTTCTAGTTCGGGGAAGAAGCAGAGGGTTTCTACTCCGCAAGGATTCCAAGGACAGGGTCACAGTCATCAAGGCCAAGGCCAGGGTCAATCCTTCCAAGGCGGGAGACACTTCAGGGCTTGCAGCTAGGCAGGCTCACAGGCATGTTTTCATTGCCACCAGTCGGGTCACATGAAACGAGATTACCCTTAGAGGCAGGGATCCCAAGGGTTACGGATCATCTTAGTGCCAGACTTCGATGGGGCAACCACAGACACATTATACTCCTCACTACCCCACCATGGGCCAGGGGAGCTAGTACTAGTTTCAGGGTGCTACACAGGCACCTACTACTTCACGTGCGGGAACTCTGCAAGCAAGCCAGCTAGGTCAGGGCATGGGTCGAGGCCGAAGACAGGGCTCACAAACTGGTACTTCGGGAACCCAAGGGTGTGTTTACGCCATGGTGCCACAGACTGAGCTAGCAGATCCATCGGTGATACAGGGAACATTCTTCTTCTCTCACTTATGGGCTAGAGTGTTATTTGACTCTGATGTATCACATTCTTTTATTGTTGGATTATGTGTGAAAGACTTAGGCTTAGAGGTTGATACCTTGGAAAAGCCACTAAATGTGAGTTCTCCCCTAGGAGCTAGGGTGAGAGTTGATAAGATATATCGGGACTTTGAGTTAGAGATCTCAGGATTCTACTCACCGTGGACCTTAGGGTCATGGACATGTCGGAGTTTGATGTGATCCTCGGGATGGATTGGTTGGCAGCACATCGGGTCGTCATTGATTGTGATAGAAAGAGGGTCATTGCTTACACACTTGATGGTGTCTGTTTTAAGTTCCAGGGGGAAAAGCATGATGCTTTACCCCAAGCCATGTATGACTCTAGATGGCACGGACAGTTAATAGGTTGGCTTACAAGCCTTACCCTGGAGGACGAGGCAAGACAGGAGTTGGGTCTACCTCGGATGGTATGTGAGTATGAGGATGTCTTTTCGGACGAACTACCGGGATTACCTCCATATAGAGATGTAGATTTCAACAATGAGTTGCATCCCGGTACGTCGCCTATTTCTATAACTCCGCATAGGATGGCACCAGCCGAGTTGCA